GTGGGGGGTGGAATAGTGCTCCATGATTGGTGTCAGTGGGGGGTGGAATAGTGCCCCATCATTGGTGTCAGTGGGGGGGGGGAGGAATAGTACCCAATCCTTGGTGTCAGTGGGGGGAGGAAAAGTGCCCCATCGTTGGTGTCAGTGGGAGGAATAATGCCCCATCATTGGTATCAGTGACACCAATGATGGGGCACTATTCCTCCCACTGACACTTGCTGACCCCTGTTCCAGTATGGTGCTGCTGCAGCCAGCATATGTGGTTGCAGCAGCACCTAAGCACGGCACACTTACCTGCATCTCCTTCACTCGATTTTCGCAGGGCCGCTCAGCTCCGTCTCCTCGCCGGTGATTGGCCGCCTGTGTGCCTTTCCTGAGCTACAGTTCTGGCGGCCAATCACCGGTGAGAAGGCGGAGCCGAGCAGGCGCGTGAACATCCAGTGGACGAACCGAATGAAGGAGCAGCCGCGCTTCCTGGACCGGATCGTCGTGGGACCGGAGCCAGGTAAGAGACAGCAGCCCCCTGCAGACGTTGACTCGAGTATAAGCCGAGGGGGCCGTTTTTCAGCACAAAAAAATGTGCTGAAAAACTCGGCTTATACTCGAGTATATACGGTACTTGCCATTTAAGCCTTTGATGTAAGCAGATCCAAGTTACAGAGCGAAAGGGTCTCCCCAGGTGGTATTGATGTTAAAATGGGAGATGTCTTTAACTTAACTTACTGAGGCCTGCTAGCCTGTTTTTAAAATGTCCCAGCAGGGGGGTGGCTCTGAGTAACTGACCAATACTTTGTTTAGGGAGGGATCGTCGGGCGGAACCCTAAATTAGAACCAACATCTTTCATAATTCATATTCTGGTATATAACTTCTCAGCTGCAGGAGCGATAGTCCCCTCGCAGGTATATTATTACACAGACAAGTCTGAGGATTATTTAGATATGAATTGTAAAATTATATGCTGCACGGTTCACGAGATCTATGTTTCTACTTCCCTGAGCGTGCGAAACAAGTGGGGTGACCTACTAAATGATTCGCCTGCTCATCGCCCATCCGATAATTTGTCTGGCTTTTATGTATGTCTCTCATATTCCAAGATATGAGACATAGGATAAAAATTGATTTGAGGAATGTTCATTTAATTCTGTCACCTACGCTGCTAGGTTTTATGAGGTTAAATCTCTTTCAATTCCTGGGAAAGCTGCCTTATCTCTGTTACGAGGTGAGAGATTACACAGGTTTTTGGGCAGAGAGGCTCTGTCTCTCTTGGGGGGCTTTGTACCTCTGAGCCCCCTGCTGCTCTAGCCTGCCAGTGACCCACAACCAGATGTCGCTATGGCTGAACAGAGAGGAAAGGGGGGAGGATGAGGGAAATTATATTTCAGGATGGTTAGTCCCTTCGCCAAGATGGAGGTTGAAACCAAAATGGTTGCACCGTGTCTATCTTGGATGCGCGTTTTTGCGACAGTTGCCATCTCATCCCTTTAAAATCGAACACATATTAATTACACAGGTTCTGTGGCTGATTAACCCCTTGGCGCCGGCACCTACTGGCCCTTTAAGGGTTCCAGAAGCCGGGAGGGGTTTTAGGGTCATGTGACCACCGTGATTCGCTGTCACATCGGTCACATGATCGGGAAAGGTCCCGATCTCCTCTTTCGATCGGGACCTTTCCCGATCATGTGACCGCTGTGACAGCGAATCACGACGGTCACATGACCCTAAACCCCCGCCCGCCTCCCGGCTTCTGGAACCCGTAAAGGGCCAGGAGGCGCCAAGGGGTTACCGAAGGGGAGTACCGCACGTGTGTGTTGGGAGTGCGCAGGGCGCGCGCTCTCAACACATATGTTTTTTTTAATAGAACGCAAACGTGCAACCGCTTGGCGTCTAGGCCCAGATGCTGGGAGGCCGCACATTTGTGTTTGGCGGGAGCCAAGAGGTTAAGGTGGTAATTAAATTCAGTGCCTTATCTGAATTAAATCAGCCTCAGAACCTGTGTAATTAATATGTGTTCGGCTTTAAAGGGATGAGGTGGCAACCCTACCCCAAAACAGGATACAGTCCTAAACCTATAGGCAAATAAGAGAACCAGAACCTTTGCTAATTGGAAGTGTGGGTTGTATAACAAAGTTGTGCCTCCACCCAGGACTGGGCCTCTGTGAAAAGAGGGGATTTCCTTCCTTGGAAATTAATCAGCTATGTAATCAAAGTAATTAGGAGCAAAATAACTACTGCAACCAACATATAACTGTAGCACTATCCCTATAGGAGTCGCTGAAGTTTGGGTCCCTCTATAGTCCTGCACAGCCAGGCAACATGCATTTCCTCATTCAGACTTGCATTAGGAGACAGTATCCATTCCTTGAGCTTGTTTTTTAAGTTTTATTAGGAGAATTGAACTTAGATGGGGTAAGGGGTGTATGGGATGCCCAAATGGCAACAGAGAACAAACTTCAGCTGTACTGGGTGTTTTCCCTGGGTAGGGGATCCAGTGCCTGGCACTTCGGTGTGAACAGTCCCATGTACCCAGGCTGCTACTCAGCCCTCCACACTAACAATTGAACTACAGCTCCCCCTAGCTAACTAGAAGGGTGCTACATTACATTACTGTAAGCATATAGATCAGCCATTCTCAACCTTTTTAGCCTTTCAACATAGAAGAACCCTTGAAAAACCTTTCCGCTCTCAGGGAACCCTTGCTAAAACTTACTATATCCAAAACTCATGATAAATTAGTGTGATGCTCAGTGGGAAGAATTCTGCTCACACTTGTGGTCATTGCAAAGAATTACCCCCTTTCAGATAACTAAAAAGAAAAATGGTGTCAGTGGGAACTTATCCGACAGGCAGAAATTGCTCATTGCTCAAGGAACCCCTAGCACCTCTGGAGGAACCCTGGTTGAGAAACCCTGATATAGATGCACGTTAGTATAGAACAAATAAAAGCATTATGTAGGTATAGCACCCTCTGGTTTAAATAGTTTGTAGTGTAGTTTGAAGCTTGTCAGAAACCTGGGTGTGAGTCAGTGGGCTTACTTTAGGTCAGGATGGAGGACACTACAGGTCAGGCCTCTGGTACCTTCCCCTGGTTCTAGAAGTTTGGAGTATTTTCTAGAATCTAGTGGGTGGGGGCCAGAAGGTGCTGATCTGCATATTCATGGGAATCTGGCCTTGCCAGCGGGGGAATCAGGTGGAGATTGAGAACGAAGGTGTGCTACTGTGTAGCCTGGGAAAGGATCCGGGAGAAGGGGGGGTTTCTGACTCCAGGTTGGAGATCGGAAGAATGGGAAAAGGGGGAGGAGAGGGAGCTCCAGTGCCTTGCAGTACACTAAGGAAGGACAGAAACTAGCCCAGCGAAAAGCCTGAAAGCAGTTTATCAAAGCTACAGGACACAAGGACAGTGTGAGTACCTCTACACCACTGGGGCCTACAAGAGAGAGGGCTGCTAGGTGCAATAACCAACCAGTTCTCCCTGGGACAGTGCTGCAAGTCTGTTGTAGGAACAACAGCTCTGGGATACTTTTCAAAGACAGTCAGATGGGTGGACAGCTTCTAGCTGGGGCCTGAAGAGGTTCATTTAGAGGGGACCAAGTACTCCTTACAGAGACTGTGTTACTGATCCGCCAAGAGACTGATGCCACTCCGAAGGGAGTAGTAAGTCCAAGATACTTCTTTTTTGTACAGAATTTAGGAAGTTTGTCATCAGAGTTGTGGTTTCAAGTCAAGTTCGGCATCCCATATACCCCTAGACCCTATCCAAGTTATTTACACCTAAATAAAACAACAAAAACAAGCTCATGAACTAGTTACTGACTCTAAATGGATTTTGGAAAATAAGTGTTGCGTGGCTATGCAGGAAATAAGGGGGGACCCAAAACCAACGTATCTCAAGGGGGTAGCGTTACATAGGAAAAGATCAGTAATAGTACATACATCCAATGTACAAACAGGTATTATCAGTAAACGGCCCAACAAGACGCTTGGTGGGATTGTGCACATATTCCTTTATATATATAGTTAATAATAGAGATATCTCCAGGTGAATGTTGCAATAAAGTCCAGTTGCAGGGGTCCCCAAGGATGATCACAATGCAGCATTCATTTTGGTGTCAAAGACCTGAAAACAAGATCTGCGTGATGAAGAGCTCCTGCAACCATTGTCTAACCAGCCTGGAATGCAGCTTCTCAGAAACTGTGGTGTGGAATTGGAGCTCAGAGTCAGCCTATATACTCTTCCTCTTAGTCCCTAGCAACTTCTAATCTCTCATGCAAGTGGACCTCTAACTACCAGAAGTGGCCATTGGAAGACTAATCTGGCTCTAGCCTATACTTATTATTGAGCCCTGAGCTAAAACTAGCTGTAGAATCCCAGACCACAATGGACAGGGTTAACTAAAATAACAAGAGCTGCATATAAACTCTAATTCAACAAACAGGTTTGCCTACTAATATACTGGAATATGCCCACTACACACATACACATGGTATCACGGACATAGATATCTGGTATAGTGCATGTAAGATGACAACAAGGAGACATATATACAGTACTTCTGTCACCAGTTTTTATGACCACTGATAGGTTAAGTGAATAACAGTAATTATCTTGTTACAATAGCAACTGAAAGTCTATGGGATATATTAGGCAGCAAGCAAATATGTTGTCCCTGAATTTGATGTGTTGAAAGCAGAAAAAAGTGGGAATCACAGTTTGTTATGTATGGGGCTGTGGAGACCAGTCAGGGTGCCCATGATGACCTATATCAACAGCCAAAAGTAAACATCCCGGGTATGATAAAACTTGAAACACGAAATTATAAATTATAATTTAATAAATAATCATAAAAAATAATAATATAATAATAATAAATTTAATGCAATAATCTAATCAAACCAAAAACACTGAAATTTTAAATATAGCGCCAAGTTCGCAAATCACTGAGCAAAGTCGCAAAATCGTTTTCAGTGTCTGATGACGAATTTCCCCACGAATCATTATCACTCAATTCTGCAAGTGGTTCTAATTTACTATCGCTGTTCTCTAGCTGGTCTAAAACCGCTTTTGACCTAAAGGGACACTTTTTGGACGCCATGGACATTTCTCAGTTTCCAGGCAGAAAGAACAGTAAAAATGCAGGCAGGGCACAGGACAAAGCACTCGGGACAAAATGTATGTGAAATGCCTTGATACAGTAATGTTATACTATGTGATTTTAGTGAATGTCACTTTTTGTCATTTTCAAATTTCTCGCCGTTCCGTCCCCTGTACTTCCCGACGCTCGCAGGGGATGGAACCCAGATTACAGATGCCGGCATTCGCCGGATTACATTGCCGGGGACACTGCAGGAGGGACATTGCGGGAGCACAGGACAAGGTAAGTGATCGAGGGATCGCGGCGCAGCGCCGCATGGTAAGCCCGAGTGTAGCTCGGGGTTACCGCACGTGGTACTGAAACTTTACCCCAGCTACACTCGGGAATACCGCCAGGGAGGTTAAAGAAAAGGTTGTGTGTGATTATCCCAGTAGATCATTAGTTTTTGAAATACTCAAACCAGCCCGTCTGGCGCCAACAACCATGCCACCATCAAGTAATTTAAATACCCTTTTTCCCCATTCCGATGCTCGGTTTGAACTTCAGCAAGTCATTTTCACCTTATCTAGATGCCTAAAGGCATTGAGTTACTGCCATGTGACTAGCCAATTTGTGTTGCCGGTGAGTGTATGTATATATATATATATATATATATATATATATATATATATATATATATATATATATATAGTGAGGGATTAGCCCAGTAGCAGGTTGTGCTTGACCCCCTGGATGAGTCAGAGCACAGTGAAAGAGGCTCAGCATGACAGCAGGATCTTGGTGAATAAACTCGTGCTTTATTTAAAAGTCTGGTGAACACACGGTGTATATATTCAAAAACAGCAAAACAAATACAAACAGAAAATAAATCCTTGCCACACCGCATCTAACATCTAAATCCTGAGTGCCGCCATACCTGCCTACTGCTGCATCTACGTTCCTGCAACCACACCTGCCCTGCATCTGGATCTCCTGGGTTCCCAGTCACCAGTTGCCAGCTCCAGACCCACTCGGCACTCGTGCCACTCCTGGCTCTGCGCCCACTGTTTCCACTATCAGGGGCTCTGAGTGGGAGTTGTAAGAGGACGCCCTCTCTCCACATCAGGCTCCCCAACCAGGTACGTGACAGTACCAGAAGGCCATGTCGGAGCCTGAGAGAGGGGCCTCTCCTCTGGAGGAAATTTGCCATCATATTGCGGCACTAACACAAGCCGTCAAGGGCCTACAAGAGGGTTACAACCGTCTGGAGGACCGTTTCCACGTTTTTGTGATCGTGTATCTCGATGACATCCTGTCTCCACCTGCATCCTTTGCGAACACCACAGCGACACCTTCTCCAACCCTCGCTCCAGGAGCCATGGCAAGCCCTGCTGTGATGATGTTTCCCCCTGAGCCTAAGGTATCTACGCCCGAGAGATTTTCAGGCGACCGCTACAAATTCAGGGCCTTTCGCAACGCATGTGAACTGTATTTTGCATTGCAACCCCGCACCCTCTCCCTAGAGGCAACCAAAGTGGGATTTGTGATATCACTTCTCCAGGGCGAACTTCAAGCATGGGCACACCACTGACCTCCCTTAGTGGGTTCTTCGAAGCTATGGCACAGCTTTACGACGATCCCCAGCAATCTGCATCTGCAGAAGACACACTACATTCTCTTCAGCAGGGCCGCAGGGCAGCAGAGGACTATGTAACCGAGTTCCGGCGCTGGAACGCTGACACCAGTTGGAACGATGCTGCCCTACGATACCAGTTTCGCTTAGGCCTTGCTGAACCCCTGAAGGATGAGCTAGCCCGAATTGGTTTACCCAATACCCTGGAGGAACTCATCAATCTGACCATACAAACTGACCACCGACTCGGAGCGAAGGTTAGAAAGATCTGCAGGCCAAGTCCGCCCCACATGGATGCTACCCAGGGTACCACCTCCAATAAGTATGGCACCAACCAGCCCTGCCACACCCACTTCTGACGGATCTGAGCCCATGCAAATAGGGTTGCTACGAACTACACTCACTCCGGAGGAACGGCAATGCCGCTGGCAAGGCAATCTATGTCTCTACTATGGGAAACCCGGACACTATGTACAGAACTGCCCTGCAAAATCACGTAAGTCTCTGACCATCCTGCCTGCTGAAATACCCGCTGCCAACCCTGCTCAGCTCACCATCTCCGTTTCATTTCAGCTTTCGGGAAGAACTTTGCCGGTAACCGCTATTATTGATTCCAGGGTCTGCAGTTGCTTCATTGATGCAACCTTTGCTCAGCAACATCGGATACCTTTAAGGGCTAAAAATCAGAAACTGACGGTGTTTCTGGCTGACGGATCCAACATTAAATCCGGGGCAGTCACACAGGAAACAATCCCACTTCCTGTGATAATATCTCCATCTGGTCACAAGAAACTAATATGCCTGGACGTCATTGTATCCCCACTATTCCCAGTCATCTTAGGGATCCCATGGTTACAGGCCCATAACCCTGGAGTAAATTGGGTATCTGGTGAAGTGGACTTTAAATCGGCCTACTGCTATGAACACTGATTTCCTCAAAATCCTGCTCCGTCCGGGCCTCTGTTGTGTATGGAAAGCGATACCGAGGTAGGCCAGATGGTCCCGGCAGCATACCATGACTTCTTAAACGTCTTCAGCAAACATGGTGCAGACAGCCTTCCACCCTACAGACCTTACGATTGCCCAATCAAACTGCTACCAGGAGCTGAGATCCCCTTTGGTCGGATCTTTCCCCTATCAGAGCGTGAGTTGGAAGCATTAAAGGTCTATACTGACGCTAACCTCAAAAAGGGGTTCATCCTCCCCTCCACCTCTCCAGCCGGGGCAGGAATTTTCTTTGTTGAAAAGAAAGATCATTCCCTCCGTCCATGTGTAGACTACCGGGAATTAAACAATATCACGGTAAAGAATCGATATCCTCTGCCACTAATCCCAGAACTCTTCCAGAGGCTCAGAGTGGCAACCGTATTCACTAAACTCGACTTAAGAGGAGCCTACAATCTCATAAGGATCAGAGAAGGGGACGAGTGGAAAACAGCCTTCTGCACCAGGTTTGGGTGCTATGAATACTTAGTTATGCCCTTTGGGCTATGCAACGCCCCCGCAACCTTACAGCATCTCGGGAATTACATCTTCAGGGATTTCTTGAACGTTTTCATGACCTGGCCTGCATCCTGGTTACCACCATATCTGCCTACTACTGCACCCACGCTCCGGTGCCCGGTTCCAGTCTGCATCCTGAGTGCCGCCATTCCTGCCTACTGCTGCACCTACGTTCCTGCAACCACACCTGCCTTGCCTCTGGATCTCCTGGGTTCCCAGCCACCGGTTGCCAGCTCCAGACACACTCGGCACTCGTGCCACTCCTGGCTCTGCGCTGACTGTTTCCACTATCAGGGGCTTTGAGCGGGAGTTGTAAGAAGACGCCCTCTCTCCACGTCAAGCTCCCCAACCAGGTACGTGACACTTGGGGTGGAGCTGGGAAGTAGAAAGTGCAGGGTGTGAAGGAGGACCAGAAGAGGGCTGGAGTCAACTGCCAGAGTCTGCTGAATGCTGAGACCAGGGTTGAGACAAGTGGGTGCTACAGCTGCAGAAAGAGGTGCAGGATCTGCAGGAGGAGTTATGTCCTCCTCTTGGCTTCCAACTGCTGAGATAAGGTGGGGGCAGAGACAAGGGAAGATGTTTCCATTGTCATGCAATTCTGTGTGACTGAATTCACATCTGAAATTGCACTAGTGTGAGTACAGCCTTGGTGACAGTTTTACTTGTAACCAGTGCTGTATTTGTGTCTTTTATTGTTGTTTTGTAAGACATCTGAGTAAATGTACACATATACAGTATTTTACCTATATATAGATGTTGATTATTAATGTGCAGGTGGGGTGCAGCGTATTGCAGCGACAGTAATTCATACAGACATGTGTACTGGATGGACAGAAAACTTCTATTGGATGGACGTCCGCCCAACTGGGTACACTCACAGTTTCCAATAATGTGAAGATAACCGGTATCTACTGGGATGACAGCACCTGTTAAGAGAGCAGAAAGTGGCCTGGCTGTCTCATGCCCAAGTGGGCAGATATCCGAAGGAGTCATGCCCCTACGCTTTTCCTCCTCGCCAGAAACCTTTCCCTACCGCTAGTACTTCCCCTAACAGGCAAGAAAACTTTTCCTACACTGCTGATTTGTAAAAATCGCACCAACCCTGGGAGGCAGGGCCTTAAATAGATGACCGCCAGAGGTGAAGCCAGACCCAAGATGGCTGCCAGAGGTGACAACATCCATTTTGGTGCTTTCGCAGTGACCCAGGAACCCACAGAGGAACTATATTCCTCTTGACGTTCTCTCCAGCTGCGGTGCCACTGCGAGCAGTGCCACCTTTAGTAGAGAAGAAGACTGCACCTACCTACAAATGGCTTTGGTTTGGAGCTGATGTATTACAGCGAGAATACCCTGACTGAGATTGCCAGCTGAGAAATGACCATATATTTGTGCTGTTGTATCATAGCTGGAACAAACTTTTTACAGTGTTTGGTAATCACAGCAATCCTTTTTTGGATTACATCTGTGGAGAGATGCTGCAAGATGTTCGTAGATTGCTTCAGAGCCGGTTATATTTTTTGGATTGCGCTCTGTTTGAGAAGGTGATGCGTTTTACTTGTTGCTTTTTCTTGTTACATTTGATATATTCTTGGTTTAATTCCTGTTTTTATAGCCTGTTAATGATCCAGATTGTGTATGTATCTGAGAGACTGCTCAGCTGTGGCTGATTCTTGGAAATCATAGCCTCCCCAGTGAATGGATATTTCAATCGTTCACCTCCTACCACTTCTTGTGCCAGCTCTATTCCCTGTAGGCAAGCCCTTAGAGGTGAAATGCGTCAGTGAAGTGTGATGCATTGGGTGCAGAAAGAATGTATGCATGCATTTCGGTTTTCATGGAATAAAACAATACAGTGACTTTAAGATGGAGTATGACTCAACTTTTTTGTAACATTTCAGGATTTACTAATAATATAAATGATGAAGCGCTCAACTTATATCCTTCAAAATTATAATCAATCTACAAACATATATAGTGCAAAATCCCCCACGTAAATTATACACCCCCTAGTGGTAAATAGTGATATTCAACAGAATGACACTTAAACTGTGCAAAGTGACAAATATTAAACAAAATATAATGCAAAATCAAATCCAAAAATTATTATTAGTGATGCCACACTGTGTAAAATAATAAAAGTGTTCAATA